GTTGACAGAGCTAGGCAATGTAATGAAATAAACTAGATGTATGCCACGTTTTCCCAAGAAAAATATAATTATTAATATAATTTAGAAGTTGAAGGGATGAAAAGTTTTCTGTTCAAATATTTTTCAAAGAATGAGCCATCTACCTCACAGGCCAAAAGATGTCTGAATCTAACCCCAAATTCTGCAGACAAAGCTGGGTGATGGCAGAATAAATGCCTTATCTGGAATCATTTCAAGGAAGTAGTATATAATTATTCTTCAAGACAAAATATTCTGGAACAAATACCATATGTGGCCTTAAAGTTAGCAAGGCCCACCAACAGTTCTTAATGAGGTCACATAATCTATTGTCTTCTCCAGAAAGTTGTTTTATACTACTAAATACTTTCTTAATATTTTCTTTTCCTGGTTCTAATGTCCAATCTAACCATAACTGCATGGTGGGCATTTTCCAGAACCCAGTTTCATTTCACTACTATAAAATTGAAAGTTTGCATAAAGGTCTTTTACATTTAAAATTAAAGTTTGATATGTTTGGCTAAGAACTCTTTTCTATAATTCTGGAAAAAGTCCTGCCACAAAGCCTTATAGCTGTAATTCACCACAGAAGTATATGGTACTTGAAATGCTGCTGCTATTCAGACTTCAGAAAATGGACATCATATCACCATAACCCCAACTATAAGACCAAATTACATCTTTAAATTACAGTAAAACTACAATATTGTACAACATCAAAATATCAGATAACAACTCAATAGTCAAAAAAATGATATACATAAGCAGAGACAATTCAAATAGCATTTCGGTCAAAAAGGACAGCTGTTTAGTCTAGAAACAATGATGTAGGCACAGAGAAAAGGCTCTTCTGTTTTACAAGCTGTATCTGTCAGCATTCACAAATGCTAGAAAATTGTTCTGCTACAGTTGTTTGCTCATTTGTATTCAAATTGATGTAATTTTGCCTGCCTTATGTTGCAAAGTACAATAGCACCGAAAATTTAATCAAATAGTGAGATTTTCCCCATTTCAAACTGGTTATCTCACAAAATGTGAATTTTTTTCTTTCATTCAAATAAAATGTTATTATTTTAGTTACATTAAAAACAAATTTGATTTTTAGCTACAGGCGTATTATGTATGATTCTTTAAATAACAGTATTAAAATATTTTGCTGTGCAACAAAATCTGTTGTAGAAGGATTCGGTTTTCTTTAACATAAGTTAATATAAACAGAGAAATGCATGAGTATATTTTGGACAGAAACCAACCACACCACATTATGGTTTAATGAGCCCAGCCCCTGAGCAACTTCTCACGAACTGTAAACTTTCATAGAGGAAAAGTCGCCACCCAAACCAAAAAGATCTTTAAATTCCTGTGGCTTGATTCGCATTTTGGAGAAATTGTATCAATCACTTCAGCTGTAGGAGGGCTGACCATGCTGTAGTTGCCCAAGAAAAATACCAATATGAACATAGAGAACAACATGTAGAATATAATGCTCTCTACCAGAGCATGTGGTTTGTCATTAGGACTGCTAGCTTGCATTTTAGGATTTCTATACTGAATGCAGTTCTCTATAAATTTACCTGAGCCAGACATCCTATATCTGAAACCATCCAGATGTGTTGGACTCTATTTCACAGCAGCTGTATAGTCCAGCACATTTGGAAGACGTCTTCTCTTAACTTTTGTATAATATGATCCATATATCCTAATAATACTGTAGACGTATCAGATGTCTAGCCTTAGTGCTAGGAGGTAGCTGAATAGTGGGGGAGGGGGGCCTTCTTGATCTGAGCAACACTAACCTCCAAGATATCGCCCCCAATTTGCATACAAGGGCAAATGGGGTTGGAGTTTAAGTCGCTAATTGATATGGTTGCATAGCATGATGTCACGTGACTGCATTGCTTAATAATAGCAATCCTGGTCACCACTGTAACCCCAGGTCTGTTAAGTGGGAACAGGTGAGAGTCCTAGGCAATGAGCATGGGGGTTGTAGGGGTGTTGTGGTGTGCCATCAGAGCTTCTGGTGGGTTGGTAGGGGTACTATCACACTACATAGTGCAGATGGGCACTATGGAGTGTGGGTGGACTGGGGTGGGGCCCAGGCAGATGGGGGAACATTGTGGGCACATGTAGGACTCCTCAGGAGAAATAGTGGTAACAGTAATTTATGGGAGTAACTTGCAGTCTTCCTCACCACCTTCCCAATTGACTGGCTGCCATCATTTTCATCATCTAAGAACCTGCCTTATCTTACTCATTCATTATAATTTCTAATTTGAAACATATTTTTAATTGCAAGTTGTATGAGCAAAACATGTGCCCTGCTCTGTAGACTTCCTCGCTTCTACCCATTTGCCCTACCATAAAAAAAATCTTGCTTTAAAAATTCTGACAAAGGTGAAAGCTTGCGCAATAAAGTTTTGGATTCCCCCCTCCTCCATAACTAAGGGGTTTGGCTATAACCATTGTATATATACAATATAGTATCAAGACTTGTCCTTCAAGCTGAAATTGACTTTAATGAGCCTTCTTACAGAATACTGCTTAGGGATAGGGAATTTCAGGACTGTAGACTCAGCTGGGAAGTTGAAAAACATTCTGGAAGAAAACAATGGCAGATATTTCCAATGTTGCCATGAACATTGTGTCAATGTATTCATTTTAAGATTCAAGCTTGATTTGAAGGAGAAACCACTGTTTTTTAAAGATAGTGATGTAATTAATTAATACATTGAAGTGACTTTGTGTAAAGTTTATATATTCGTCAAAAAGATCAGTAAATGATCCTTCTGCCTGTATGAAGATTTTTGCTTCAGCTGTTTGTTGCAATTCTGTTTCCAATATATAGATGTGGAGCAGCTATTTTTGTTATCCAATGGATTTGTAAAACTTTAGGGCGATATAGGGCAGTGATGGCGAACCTTTTTGGCACCGAGTGCCCAAACCGAAATGTGTGTGTCTACGTCAGAGTGCTGGAAACCCAAAGACCAGCTGGCTGGTGCACGCATGCCTGATTTTTGGCCATTTTTGGGTGGTTTTTTGGACGTTGTCTGGACGTTTTCCAGTGCTCTGGTGCCCGCGAAGACCAGCTGGCCAGCGCTCATGTGCGCGCTGGAAACCAGAAGAGCAGCTGGCGACGGCGCACGTGCCCACAGAGAGGGCTCTGCGTACCACCTCTGGCACTCATGCCATAGGTTTACCATCGCGGCTATAGGGTATTTATAATTTTTGGGACTGTTAACACCCAGTGGAATTTAGAAGGATCATGTATGCACATCCTACTGTACAGAAATTGTTTGGCTTGAGTTTGCAGTTAAATCTGAAGCAGAATCAGACAAAAGATGAATACATTGTGAGCTGGCAGAGGCCAAATCATCTATACTTTTTGAAGGGAGAAGTGATGTCTGATTAGGGCTGTCCTACTGACTTGTGGAAGTGGTATACCTCTGCTGTGTTTTATTTTTTTTATTATTTTTTTAAAAATTTATTTTTACAATGCGTTAAGCAATAGCCTTCATACTTTTTGTATATTTTTATACAAAGTCAGCTTATTGCCCCCACAAACCGGGTCCTCATTTTACCCACCTTAGAAAGGATGGAAGGCTGAGTCGACCTTGAGCCTGGTGAGAATTGAACTCGCAGTAATTGCAGGCAGCTGGATGTTAAACGCCACTCAGGCTCCTTTTATACATATGTAAAGAGAATTGCAAAGACCCCGTGTCAAATAATATTTCGTAATATTTGGAAGCATCATGCCAGAAGTTTCTCACTGCATGGGGAAATGGTTGGGGCAACCCCAAGCACCACCTTTCCAAGGTTGACCCTTTTAAAAACAGTAAAGGGTAGAAGCCCTGTTGATTGCTTTTTTTTTTTTTTTAAATTGCAAAGCTTCTGCCATTTTCTCTCTTTTTTTTTCTTGAATTCTGCCCCGCAACGACGAGACTGCTCGAACCTTTCTGAAAGTTTGTTGTGACCCTCGACCCCCCTTTAAGCGAAGCCTTTGAAGATGGCTTGGGTCAGTTTTGTTCTGAATTTCCTGCAGCTCTCTCTCCCTTTCCTGAAAAGTTTTGAGTTCAGCCTGAACTTTTCTCTTTCCGAAGACACTTTGCACAGCTATTAAACTGTATCACTACAGCCTCGGCTGGCACACAGTTGGGAGTGTGTGTGTGTGTGTGTCTTTCACTGTGTTGCTGCCTGATGTCCTGAGCGAGTAAATTTCAAAGCTGTCACAAGCGAACAGCGCGGCCCTTCCAGGCTCTGCCTTCCCTCCCGCGTCTCGGGTTCCAGCTCTGCTGTTGCCATGGCTTTCTGGCTGGTCACGAGAACAGCCACGCAGCGCTCCCGGATTTGTTCCCACCTCCCCAGTCCCCTATAGCTTTCGTTTTCTTCCAGCGTATGGAGAGCGAGAGAAAGAGGGGACGGGGCGGGGGTGGGGGAGGTGGAGAGAGGCAAGCCTGCCTTGTTCACACGGAAACTGTTCCAGGGCCGCCATTCAAAAGCCGCCCGCTTTCCAAGAAGGGGGGGATTAATGTGGCGTGAGGCAGGCGTGTCTGGCACGTCGGCTGAACTGGGGAGGGGGCTTCGGGGGGCGAAGGGGCTGCAACGTGCTAAGCAGTCACTGGCTGGGCTGGTTGCTAGGGGCTGCAGGCAATGGGCATCAGGGATTGCGCTCAGCGATGGGCCCGCCGCCGCCGCCGACAGGCAGGCCAAGTTGCTAAGCAGTTTTCACCGGAGCTGAGGGGGGGATAAAAAAAAAAAACCAAGAAAAAAAGCCGCTTTGGGTGCTGTGTCAGCGCTTTTTCTTCCCTCCGTGTTCCCTTCCCACTTGTGTCTTGCAGGGTGGGGGGTGGGGAACGGGGAAGGAGGCTTCATTCGCCTTTCAATCCGGAACCTACATTCTTGGGCAGACCGCCAAGGCTTACTACATACTGGGAATTATAAATATTACCTGTTGTTCGGGTTGGAGGATTAACTAGTACAAAAAAAAAAAACCCCAAAGCCAAAAAAAAAAAAAAACCCAACAGGTGCTCTTGATTTGACCTGCAGAACATTGGGAGTCTGAAAAAGGAGTTTCCCATTGTGCTTGATGGGTTTTGGTATGGAGTAAGGTGGGCTACTTTCAAAACGGGGTGTTGGAATGACTTGTGCAAATATGGGAAATGGGGCCACCCCGATGTCTTTATTCTGTGCAAACTTAAAGTTGCTTTTAAACGGGCACCATCTCTCTATTCCATCAAGTTGGTGAAACCCAGCAACAGGACAGGTAAGGCTTGATGGATAAATAAGGATACATTTCACAGAAAGAAATGTTGGGCTGCTCCACAATGTCAGCTTAATGTGAATTCAACCCATCCTTGAAGTTGCAGAAAACTATATTGACTTAATGTTTATGGAGATTCTCAGTCATCCAGGTCATGGTTGTCCCAAATGTGCTTTTTCAAGAGGCAACTGGACTTTCTGGTTTTTCTTTGAAGATGTTTCGCTTCTCATCCAAGAACTTCTTCAGCTTCAGCTCTGAAGAAGCTTCTTGGATGAGAAGCGAAACATCTTCAAAGAAAAACCAGAAAGTCCAGTTGCCTCTTGAAAAAGCACATTTGGGATATAATGACTTAACATTTGCTGCCCCATTTAGTGATCCACAGGCATAAGGCTGACAAGTGATACTGCCCATATTTGTGATGTACAGTGATGTTTCTCAACCTGAATAATCTTAAAATGTGTGGTCTTCAATTCCCAGAATTCCTCAGCCAATGTGTGTGGATTTCTGTTCCCAGAATTCTCTAGTCAGCTTCTGGGACTTAAAAGTCCATATGTTTTAAAGCTGCTGAGGCTGAGAAACACTGATGTACAGGGTATGTGGGATTGCTGAATTCTCCTAGTTTTGTCCCTGCCTTTTCATCCAAAATCCAGTGTAAAAGAACTGGACTCTTCTAATGCCTGAAATAGAATGACCATCAAAGACTGCACAAGAAATGTAGTAGAATCCTAGCCTAAATCAGCCAATAGGCAAGAGGATTATTACTCCCTAATTGTCATCTGATTGCACCACTGACAGAATATGAGTGAAGTGTATCAGATTATATCCATGGCAAAATTGTGGCAGGATAAGGGAGAAATAACCCTGGTGCAGTGAAGGATGACTTGAAAAATGTCTCAGCTGCAAACAAGGAATCAGATGTAGGCAATGTCATGGGAACATAAGACAGCTGAAGTTGTCTATAGCTGCAGTTAGACGTAGTAAGGAAAGACTTGTTGGTAGGTTGAGCTGAAAAAGTATTTATTAACTCCACCTTTATCTCTACTGAAAAATAGAAACAATGAGCATAGGCAATGTTGAATTTGGATGTTTTGGGTTAAATTGTGATACCCTATCTGATCATTATGTCTTGTTAGTATAACCTAGAGCAGGGCTGTCAAACTTGCTGCCCGCAGACTGGATGTGTCATGCGCTGGCCATATCCACACCCGGTTTAGCAAAGGGGGGGAAAATCCTGATACGTCATGTGACGCTGCCGTGACGACACAAGTTTGACAGTCCTGACCTAGAATATCTGACTATGAAACAGTATTGATCAAATTGTAATTGATGTATGCATACAAGCATGCTTCCATCTTTATTGGCTCTTTTTATCTAATAAAGTTCCTCTTGAATCTAATGTAAATTATGGTGATTATGCAGAAATGATTATGTTGGTTTGTAGCAAAAATATAGAAGTGCCTTGCCATTGTTTTCTTCCTGGATTTTTAAAAAAATTCCAAGTGTAGTCTGTATTCCTGGGATTTCTCCTATCCAAATAAGGAGCCCATCCCAGGTCATCTCCCATCTAAGTATAGCAACTCAAAGTGTATTTGGTTTTATTCATAATAAAAAATTGCCTACTTAGTTTCTCCTCTTTTTCCCCCACCATTCTATATGAAGGAAAGAGTTTTGACTCTAACTGGAGGAAATACGAAAAATGGAAAGCCTTCAAGCATTGCCTTTCTGCTTCTTTCCTAGCACAGTCTTAGGTAAGTCCTTGACTTATTTCCATTCATTTAGTGATGCTTCTAAGTTATGACCATGCTGAAAAAAGCCCAGTCCTTGCACTTACATTAATTGCAGTGTCCCTATAGTCACATGATTTACATTCAGGCATTTGACAACTGGCATGTAAGGTTGCAGAGTCCTGGGGCCATTTGTGACTTTCCCAGCTGCTTTCCAACATGCAAAATCAATGAAGAAAGCCAAATTTGCTTAATGACTGTGTGATTCACTTTATGACCTCAGCAAAAAAGGTTGTAAAATCAGATCACTTAACCGCCTCGCTTACTGACAAAAGATCCAGTCCCAATCATGGTTGTAAGGTGAGGGCTATCTGTCCTTCATTTTCAGACGTTCTTACTTGCTCTAATATCACTCACATTCTCTCTTCTGTTTTTCTTGTTTCTGAAATTCATAAGCTGAAAACAATTTTAGGAAAAGTACTGGACAAGAAAAACCAAATGTACAGATATAGATTAGGTGAAACCTGGCTCAATAGCAGTAACTCTGAGAGGGATCTTGGAGTCCTTAGTGGACAATCATTTAAATACGAGCCAGCAGTGTGCAGCAGCTGCCAAAAAAGCCAATGCAATCATAGGCTGCATTAACAGAAGGATAGAATCAAGATCACATGAAGTACTAGTACTTTATAAATCCTTAGTAAGACCACACTTAGAATACTGCATGCAGTTTTGGTCACCATATTATAAAAAAGATGTTGAGTGCAGAAAAGAGCAACAGATGATTAGAGGGGCGGAGGCTAAAACATCCGAAGAACGATTGCAGGAATTGAGTATGTCCAGTCTAGAGAAAAGAAGGCCAGGGTGACATGATTAGCAGTGTTCCAATATTTGAGAGGCTACGAGAAAGAAGGGTGTGTGTGTGTGTGTGTGTGTGTGTGTGTGTGTGTGTGTGAGCCTATTTTCTAAAGCACCAGGAGGCAAGACGAGAAACAATGGATGGAAACTAATCAAGCAGAGAGGAAACCTAGAACTAAAGAGAAATTTCCTAACAGTGAGAACAATTAACCAATGGAACAGCTTGCATTCAGAAGTTGTGGGTGTTTCATCACTGGAGGCTTTTAAGAAGAGACTGGACAGCCACTTGTCTGAAGGGTCTCCCCTTGAGCAGGGGATTGGATTAGAAGACCTCCAAGGTCCCTTCCAAGTCTGGTATTTTGTTATTCTAATAGTAATATTTTTGTGAATGTTATGCACCTACATTATCATATACTCCAACAAGAGCCTCGGTGGTGCAGCGGACTAAAGTCCTGTTAAGTGCCAGCTGCCTGCAATTAGTGCAAGTTTGAATCTCACCAGGCTCAAGGTTGACTCAGCCTTCCATCTGTCAGGTTTCGTTGCTATCTTAACGCTGACACCATCCTTTCGAGGTAGGTAAATTGTGGGGGCAATAAGCCAACTTTGTATAGAACAACACCGCTTAGTGGGGGCCAAAAGCCCTAATAAGCAGGTATATACAAAAAAGTATGCAGGCTATTGCTATAATGCATTGTAAGCCGCCCTGAGTCTATGGAGAAGGGTGGCATATAAATTGGACAAACAAACAAACAAACAAACAAACAAACAAATAAATAAATAAATAAACATTTGAATTACAATGAAATGACCTTGTTACCTATAGCATGTTAATGTTTTATCTTCTTTAACAGCAGCACCATTACTTTAGCTACGTAGTCAAAAGCAGGATTTTGTGGCTATCAGTTCTATACAAGAGCAAAAAAATACCTTCTTAATAAAAAAATGTCCTATTTTCTTGCCCTTAATTATGGTATCTGATTTTCTCAAACCGGTATGTTGTGCTTGTCTTTGATGTGTCATCCAGTCCAGCTTAGGCCCCCTTTCCCTTTTTTGGTTTGTTCTCTGCTTATTTTAGCAGAAGAAAAGATTAATGAAAGTCAAATTGTCAGTTTAGGCTTTATTTATGTATTTTATTTTCTCTAAAGATTGGCCAATCAAATAAATTGCTTCTTTCTCCTCTGTTCACAAGTGCATTTTAACATTCACTGTATCCCTTAGAAAAGAACTGTTTCTAAATCAAATATTTGAATCAATCAACCTGTATATTTCATTTGACAAACATGACAAAAATATTTATTAAGAGTGAAAGATTTGTTTTTCCTATCTTGGGTTTTTATAATATTATCAAGTATGCAGTTTCTCTCATACTTCAAAGAATTCGACACAGCATGGCCAATTTTCATTTCCTTGTTTTGAAAAATTCATCCCTGTGTGGTTGTGTACATAAGTTGAAAAGTAGTCAGTGGGTTGTTTGAGAAAGCCTCCTTTTGAAGCTTTTCATGCTGATGTTTTAACTCCATAATACCTCAACATTAAACACAATTATTAGTGTGTAAGCCACATTGACTTGTGAGATCTCAGTTATGAGAAAGCATGAATAGAATCACAGTGTTAGAAGTATGTAGCTCCAACTGATCATAATTTACCATAGAATTAATACAGTAGTTGTAACTTTATGTGGAAACCAATGATTTTGGATGAAGAACTGTTTCTTTTAGATATGCTATCTAAAATCTTATAAAAAGGCTAGTAAGCAATAGAAAACAAAATGTGCAAAGTTGTATACAGTCTGTTTTTAAACAGAATATATTACTCCTATACAAATAAAGTAGCATCTGCAGTTCTACACTGAATATTAGTATTGATAGTGGAATTTTGAGTCTTGTTTTTTTTAAAAGAAATGACTGATCAGAAGTAATTTAGTCTGGTCTCTGGAATTGGAGGAAAGAAAAAGAAGCTGTTTAAGATAGTTTCTTGTGAATTTTTGAAAAATATTATTTATCTTTATTGCCTTTATAGTGAAAAGATACATTTGTTTTCTCCAGTGGGAGTACAGGTAGTCCTTGACTTACAACCACAATTGAGCCCAAAAATTCTGTTGCTAAGTGAGTTTTGCCCCATTTTATGACCTTTCTTCCCACAATGAATCACTGCAGTTGTTAAATTACTAACATGGTTGTTAAGTGAATCTGGCTTCCCCATTGACTTTCCTTATCAGAAGGACACAATAACTGTTCACATAGTTTCAGGACATGGCCTCATAAATATGAATCAGATGCCAAGCATCTGAATTTTAATCATGTGACCAGGGGTATGCTGTAACAGTCCTAAGTGTGAAAAACAGTCATGTCACTTTTTTTCAGTGCCATTATAACTTTGAATGGTCATTAAACGAACTGTTATAAGTTGAGGGCTACCTGTATTACCATATTATGAGCCCAGAGAGAGGTTAATTGTGATAGGATTTCAGTCTTCATACTGGAATTTGGACATTTATCAATGACAGCTCCAGATGCATTTTGCTGTTGGGAAATAAGGAGGGGATTGTATTTTCTTAGTGTGCAGGAATATGGACTCCAACTGACTCTGAACCATATTCTCCAGATCTCTTGGATTACAGTTCCCAGCCAGCATGAACAATATATAGTTGGAAAATTTATTTAATAGCACCTGAAGTTTTCTTTGTTTATATCCTCCAATAGCCCTTTGACCTGTCCCCTGTGTTGGGGTATAAGTCCAGTAAATTCAATGAGATTTACTCCTAAGTATGAGTTTATTGCTGTTTGCTGAGACAACTTATCCTAATGTTCAAAGCAATCAAACACTTCCTTAGTAATATCTAAAATAAAATACAATAATAAACATTATTAAATAAAATTACATGTGAAAAGTTCTGTTTCCAGCTTTCGGAAGGATTGAATACAATTCTTAATCCATTCAAATGTTTCCTTTTGAGGGATTAATTTATAGTTACTTTTTCTACATTTCTACATTCACTTACTGTACGCTCAATTTTTTCCTAGATTCTAATCATATTTATTGAGCCATACCTGCTGTTTTTCATTGCTCCATAATCAATTGTTTTATTGGTTACAATGGAAACAACTTGCAGTAGTTTAGAAATAGCAGGATGAAATTTTCAAGTACATGTAAATCAGAAACCTTGATTGCATTTGCAGAGTTGTATTCTGTGGTTGCTGTACAAACATAATATACTCCTTTGCCCTTGGAAGTGGCCAGCTGGGAACACTTGAAATCTGTCATAACTCACCTGAATATCAAACTGGGGATTTTGAGCCAAATATTCTGCTTGCTTCAAATCAATATGTACATTTCAGTCTCTCCACTTACTGCTTTGCTGTCCAAGGTTGTTACCTTAAAGTCTCTTCAATTCTATATTTTGTTTGTTTGTTTCAGCAGCATACACATTCTGATTTTTTTTCCTAATTAGCTTTTTATTTCTTTATTACACTGATTCTTTTCCACATCACTCATTCTTAAAAACATTAACAAGAGCTTTGTTAGACCAAATCAAATATCTACAGTGGCACTTCTAGGCCTGAGATCTCCTGAGGCAAGAGGTCTCTCAGGTACCTCCTGGCCCCCGTTGATTCTGCTGCCACCTGTTTCCCTCTTGCTGCTTCCACTGCTGGTTAATCAGCAAAATCAACCTGAGAAGCCCACAAGCAAAACATGGGCATTCTGGCATTTTGGCTCAGCAACTGACTTGCTACCACTGATACTGAAGGTCACCTATAGCCTTCAGTGCTAGTTGCTACTGATAGTCTTAAGCTGCATGGAGGATAAAAGCATCAAATAGACCCTGCTAGTTATCTTGTTAAGAGTAATCTAAGCAATGTCAAGTTGGTTGGTTTGCTACCTTTTAAATTTCCCAATCATCAGTAATCCTGCTAAGAGTATTGTGTCCTGGCAGCTACCTGAGATACAGTAAATGTTTGCACAAGAGTCCTATACTCTTGTCTGAAGCTATTTCCCTTAAAGCGTAACCTCTGAACTAATCTTGTTTTATACCCCTACGTTTGTCTCCAACCAGCAAAACTGTGTTTGACATGATCGCTTTGTACAACTATATCACTTTACGAGCATTAGAAATTGGTTGATTTATTATTTGATGCCAAAATGAGTAAAACTAATATTCCAGGTTCCTC